GGCATGTCGTCTCACAATCATATTTGTTTGTTGTACTACTACCCAAGTTGACTAATAGGATATCCATTTTCAGTGAGCAGGAAATTTCAAATCCATCTTTGGATACAAGTTTTTTGACGGAAAGGAGCCCGAAAAAGGAAGAGAACACCTATAGAACAGCCTAATGGTAATCGAAGTGTTTACTCGTGAATTCGAAATATACGTGAGGTATTATTAGGCCGGAGGATGAAGATTTCTGAGAACTCGAACCCTGCTGTTTTTTCTTTGCTGCCGTATGAAAAGATCACGAATTCTTTGTACCTCGAAATCATACAAAGAAATACATGGATAAGCAAACGCAAGACGATAGAAGTACCATAATTGCAATCGAGCTGTTTCATTGCTTGTTCTATGTTATTTGGTGAACAGTTTCTTTCTGAGGTACCGCAAAATCAGCAGATATTTCATAGTGGTCGAAGCACTTCGGATAGTGAAGTGCATTACTAATAATTTCAAAATATCATTTTTTGGCCACATGCTGCATGAAGGCGCTGGCAGGAATTAGTGAACTTTAACCATGTTCGGATACCCTCTCATATTTATTACTTACACGACAGGATCAACGAGACATTACAACGGCGATTCTTAACAAATCCAATGGTCTTCTCAAATCACATGGACTGAATTGTTAGATTTTGAACTGGAGGGGTTACCTTACTTCAACAATGCATACCGCAGCTCGGAAGAGTTTAAATGTGTTTGTTTTCAGGATGAAGATATCAAGTGTTCCACGCAGTTTTTGTTTTAAGTCTAGGGTGTTTACAAATCAGACACAACAAGGCGACTGCAGCCAACTTGTGTCAGCTTAGTGCATTGTCAGTAAAGCAGTTTAGAACACCTTTCTGTGGCCAACAACCTGAGCGGAAATTACCAAGCTCTCCCACCAGTGCTTGTTCGTCTAAAACGGTTAATTTGAAATTCGTGTGCCACTGTACCTAAAGTGATATAGTCCAAAGTAATAATCCTACGAGTTTATTCATTGTGAGATGAAAGCGACCACTGGTAAGCTAAAAAACTCAAAATATGTACTTTCGTCAAAGAACCTTATTCAATGTTTTTCAAAATTGCATTCCAGAAGCTATTGTGGAACGTCCGAGACAGCCACTTGGGATAAATCTGGTTATTGGCATCCGATTTCCCTTATGAATAGTTTAGTGCTATTTAACTTCGCCATTAAATGATTTTTCTGGTTAAATTGTCGTTCCTATTACATGGGACGCATTCTCTCTAACATAAGCAGTATGCTGCAAGAAAAATAATTTGGTGAAAGCTCCTTTCCCATTCATCGTGGCAAGTAAATTGATGATGTTGGAAGTAATACCATTTCCTACCAACTCCTTGACGAAGGATTATTTTGTGTACTTCTGAGAATCAGAAAGCGGTGAGGCAGAAGCAGTTGGTGGAAAACGCATACATGTATATAAGTCCACCAAAACTCGAAACTACAAAAACATTTCTTTACTTAATGACAGAAGATACATTGAAATAAAGTTTCCATCGGCTTTATAGAAAAGACTACAAAAATGAAGCAGTGTTTTGTAACCGAATAGGAATAATTCATTTCTTCGTCAGTATTGAACAACAAGGAGGTGGATCGAAGTGTTTACTCGTGAATTCGAAATATACGTGAGGTATTATTAGGCCGGAGGATGAAGATTTCTGAGAACTCGAACCCTGCTGTTTTTTCTTTGCTGCCGTATGAAAAGATCACGAATTCTTTGTACCTCGAAATCATACAAAGAAATACATGGATAAGCAAACGCAAGACGATAGAAGTACCATAATTGCAATCGAGCTGTTTCATTGCTTGTTCTATGTTATTTGGTGAACAGTTTCTTTCTGAGGTACCGCAAAATCAGCAGATATTTCATAGTGGTCGAAGCACTTCGGATAGTGAAGTGCATTACTAATAATTTCAAAATATCATTTTTTGGCCACATGCTGCATGAAGGCGCTGGCAGGAATTAGTGAACTTTAACCATGTTCGGATACCCTCTCATATTTATTACTTACACGACAGGATCAACGAGACATTACAACGGCGATTCTTAACAAATCCAATGGTCTTCTCAAATCACATGGACTGAATTGCTAGATTTTGAACTGGAGGGGTTACCTTACTTCAACAATGCATACCGCAGCTCGGAAGAGTTTAAATGTGTTTGTTTTCAGGATGAAGATATCAAGTGTTCCACGCAGTTTTTGTTTTAAGTCTAGGGTGTTTACAAATCAGACACAACAAGGCGACTGCAGCCAACTTGTGTCAGCTTAGTGCATTGTCAGTAAAGCAGTTTAGAACACCTTTCTGTGGCCAACAACCTGAGCGGAAATTACCAAGCTCTCCCACCAGTGCTTGTTCGTCTAAAACGGTTAATTTGAAATTCGTGTGCCACTGTACCTAAAGTGATATAGTCCAAAGTAATAATCCTACGAGTTTATTCATTGTGAGATGAAAGCGACCACTGGTAAGCTAAAAAACTCAAAATATGTACTTTCGTCAAAGAACCTTATTCAATGTTTTTCAAAATTGCATTCCAGAAGCTATTGTGGAACGTCCGAGACAGCCACTTGGGATAAATCTGGTTATTGGCATCCGATTTCCCTTATGAATAGTTTAGTGCTATTTAACTTCGCCATTAAATGATTTTTCTGTGTAAATTGTGGTTCCTATTACATGGGACGCATTCTCTCTAACATAAGCAGTATGCTGCAAGAAAAATAATTTGGTGAAAGCTCCTTTCCCATTCATCGTGGCAAGTAAATTGATGATGTTGGAAGTAATACCATTTCCTACCAACTCCTTGACGAAGGATTATTTTGTGTACTTCTGAGAATCAGAAAGCGGTGAGGCAGAAGCAGTTGGTGGAAAACGCATACATGTATATAAGTCCACCAAAACTCGAAACTACAAAAACATTTCTTTACTTAATGACAGAAGATACATTGAAATAAAGTTTCCATCGGCTTTATAGAGAATGGGACAGTGTTTTGTAACCGAATAGGAATAATTCATTTCTTCGTCAGTATTGAACAACAAGGAGGTGGGACAGCATCGGAGCACATGGTAGAAATCTCGTTACCTGAAAAATACCATTGCAACGCCTGTTCGTTCGCAAAATCATATGCATGCTAGCATTCAAAAAGGTTGTCCAACTTACACAAGTAACGGGATGTAGACATAACGAAGTGGTTCAACTGACCGCATTTCAGGAGGTTCAAGCCTATCTTTCTTGACCAGAGACCCATGGGTCATACGTTAAAACAACTAGGAATCATTGAAAACGACGGTTGAAATAGTAATAAATTTAATTCGAGCAGATCTACTCAATTCTGTCCGCGAATAAGACCAAAGCAACAGTATCCTGTGCAGAAACTTTTATCAAAAGCCACGTAGTGTGATTTTGGATTGAACGCCAACAGTGTGTAATGAATATCTTTACCAGTGGTGCTGGTTGTTAAAAGGAATTGAAATAGCGCACTATAGGTGAGGAACAAACGTTGCAAAAATCGCATAGCTCACTTTTAGAAATAACAGAATCTGATGCGCTTACCTCACTTGTGTGAGAAGTGACTGGGTTCTCATTGAAGCCGCAGACTCTGCTTAATTACCAAATGTTTGTATCACTAACATCTTTGGTAACCCCAAATGATTTGGGTCAAAAAATTATGTTTTTTCTGTGTTTCGGGGAACAAAACATTTATGACCGCTGATGAATCGTATTTTTCGTGTCAACTACTAGGTGTCTCATAATAAACGCAAAATTTGTTTGTGTAAATAAACGTAAATAACTAAAAACTGACAATAAAATTCTCCAAGATTAGTAGCTACATAAAGTAGGTTTTGTGCGCAAGTGCTAACAATTCTCCTGTTTACGATAGACTTCAGTAAAGGCATTGAAATTGTGAGACTTTGTTATTCCCTTGGTGAAAGCGCAACCGCTGCACTTCGTGGTTAAAAAAACGAACATGGCCTCATCAAAGATCCTTTCATCGTGTCGACCATTACACGCTTGATTGCGAAATTTGAGTCCAGTGGATCTGAATTGGATTTTCCTTGCAAAGGGAGAAAGTCTATGAGTGATGAAAGAGCGCCCATTGTAGAGAATGCCGTCGAGAAACTTCAGTCCCAGAGCATCACGGCATCTTCGGCAATAACTCAGGTGTCCCAGCTGACAGGCATTCCCCGCGCCAGCGTGCATCGTATTATGAGACGCCGCCTTCTTTTCTACCCGTACCATTTCACTTTATTATAAAACATCACGGAAAAATACAAGGAGCAACGTGTCACGTTCGCAAAATGGCTGCTGAACAATGAAATCGTTGCCAACATTTTATGGAGCGATGAAGCAGAACACTTTGGATAACTTTCAGCAGTTTCACTTGTCAACAGCGGATAGAACTAGCATGGCTGTCTTGTCAGGTCACCTGGATGCTACCTAGTGGGATTAAGGTGAGAAATGTACGGTTTTTTATCTAAAGACAGTGCGGAGAGTCCTGAACTAAATCGATGTTGAAACTTCTTGTCCCTGAATTGCACACAAAATTGACATTTATGATCATAGGTAGCTGTAGGCCACAATTGTTCTATCGACAAAAGCGCTCGCTTGAAAAATCGTAATTTTCTCGAAGCAACATATTATTCATAGGGAAAATTCTGTAACTAAGCATTAAAGTCCTCTTATTGAAAATAGTTCAATCAATGGGCTCTCAGCTTTCCAGCGGATCGGTTTCATTAGAGTAATCTGCATATAAAGCTCTTGTATTGCAGCTAATTAATCTTTATTCGGGCCTGAGACTCTCTGGTTTCACGTGTTTTTGGGCGGCAAAAATTCTGAGTCACGTGTGCGTGGAAGCTCTCAGTGTTTATAGTTTGATTATTGCATACAAATGACATCAATATTATAAGCGTTTCAAAACTGGTTATATCCATATCCCTCATCTGGAAATATGTCTTTGCCCCATTTTTCTGCAGTTAATGACGATGATTACCAGCGGTCAGGCTGTCTGACAGGCTTCAAAAACATTGCGGAGAGCTTGCCAATAATAATATCGGCTAAAAGACACAGTTGAAAGATACACATAACTAACTTACCATCCCTAAAATCAATCGGACAAAACAAGAGAAAACCCATACCCTAAAAGTCGAACTGTGGATTTAATCCTTCATGCGGTCATAACCAGTAACTCAAATGATGTTAAACAAATTATTCAATATACTAAATCCAAACTGAGCCGACACATTGTTAAAAATTTGAACCCGTAAATGAGCGCATAATACTTGCTTGCTAATTGGTGGATGCTTGTGAACTGCCGGCTCATACGAAAACCGCTATCTTCGGGGTCTTTCGGCTTATGGATGAGCATGAGAAAGGGAACGAACTACAGTAAAGGGTAATCTCAAGCTCAGATTTCAAATGGCTATAAACTTTGGACATTTAGGTATCAACAGCGAGCAATGACTGAGGTTCATAACAACGCCAGTAGAAATATATCAAGAACCATCAGTGGTACGTCAGTGTTCTTGGGGATACGCTTTGTTGACAGAAATCCAAGTTGATAATTTGCTTTTACAGATCTGGCTCAGAAATGTTTGTTATTCAGTCGAACTTTCACACGCATTACTGAAAACATCAATCCCTCATCAAAATGACCTACAGGGTTTGCATTTAACCCACCCACTTACCATCCTCATCAAGAGGAAACAAGCGCCTATCAATAATACTTTGAACTAAACGTCGCGTGCATCGATTTGCTTGTGTCTATTTTCAAAACAAAAAATATGATAACAGTTTCGACCACCAGTTTATTTTCAGGGGAAATTTTACGAAATAGTTTATTGTTCGACATGCGTGTGACCCTACATTCCAACGAAACAAGAAGTGCTGCAACCTGTGAATTCACCCCCTCTGTCAAAGCGTTAAATGAACACAAAGAGCCCGTTAGGGTCGTGAACTAAGGTTTTCCGCCTATCCATGTAGTTGAAATATAGAAGACAGTTAGCATGTTAGATCTCCAATCTACTGATACCTAAGGGAAACCTGATGAATTTCAAGTGATGGCAGATTTGGAGGCGAAAGTTTCATGAAAAACAATGTGCTCAACTCTGTAGGTCCGAATCGAGAACATTTGATGCATTCTTACGCCGAACTGGTGGCACAAGTGATGGACTCAAATGTACGTGTTGAATCACGATAAAGGGCGGATATATTGTCAACCAAAGGTTAAACTGGCTATGAATTGTCAAAGTGTCCAATAAATACCACATCACCGCCGACACGAATGGCCAGTTGTAATATACTAGAACTAAATGCGTCTCACAGTCACTTAAAATAGTGCCTTCAATTCAGTATCCCCAAAACTGCATCAAATTGGTTCACACACCCTGGCAATGTGGAATTGACCAACACGCATTTACATCCAGGTATCAGGTAATGTCATGAGTAATTTCCAACCGAATAACGCAAAGATCATGAACACGAAAATGCCTCACACAATGTTAGGTTACCAGGTCAGGTAGGGTCACAGCTTGAGCTGTGATGAGACTTGTGTGCAAACATGAGGCATTAAAGCAGCTCAACATCCTCCCGATCACTGTCATTATGTTCAGTTCGACTGTATGCACCAGGAGTTGTGTTACGTCGATTGCCTTGCACTTATGGTAGCTCCTAAGGACGCTGAGTACCAGGATAATACGAATCTTAATGACAACTTAGTTTATATCAAGAGATTATTAGGCGGTTTAAGGAATTTAACTTGTGAATTTCTATTACCTAATGGCATGTTACAATTTGAGAGGAATAAAATTGATATCGCTGGCTTATAGGAAAAGCGCTCCGGCTGTTCTTGGCATCCTCGATTGATTAGGTCGTTTTGTCGAACTATTCTGGTGGGTAGGCAAGATGTAAAACTGAAAATACAATGGCTCCGTTTGTAGTTGCCGATTTAGGTCGACAGAAAATATGGATGAAGTGATTGTAATTAGCTTGCAACAAAATGTGTTACAACGAACAACTTACAATTCATGTGTGCTTTAAGTGGGCATAATGAGTTTCATCCTCCTTGTATGTTGGCTTTGCGCAAGGTAGCGCTCCACATGTGTATAAAAATTAACACACACCAAGGTGACTGGTATAACGATGGATCTGACCAAAAATGGTTAGCACAAAACGAAAAGTATCGATTTGTGTACGGTCAACGGTTGTCCAGCTCTCCGCGCAGACTAGACAGTGCAGTCCATTTTGAGCAAGGCAAAACGCGTGATTCACATATTCAGAGAGTTCATTGAGATTCAGTCGTGGGTTTTCGCAAAACAAGCGCATTAGTTCAAGACAGAATATCGTGGCGCAAAAAATAACAGGAGGCGTTCATCATAGGTATATTTGGAATACTGAAACGTTTGCACACGTTTGGTTGACCCCACTACCAGTCCCTTTAACCAGAAAAACAAAAATTATGGTACCACCTGTTATCGTGAGCTAAGCTATCTCAAAATATATCCAGTTTCAACATAAAAAGTCAACCCATTCTCTTGAAAATTTTGCACATGTTTTGCCAGCTAAAGTTCTTAGTGTCATTCGAAGAGACTCTATCATACAGCGTGAAAAAATATCAGGTTAAGCCATTCCGGAAACCATGATTACTTTTCAGGAGGTAACGTGTATGACACAGATAGAGTTTTTGTTCGAAGTTGTGCATTTAACAATGTTCGAACTATGTTTTTGTGTGAGGCCATTTAGTTGTTCTTATTGGATCGAAAATTACTTATTTGATCGGAAAATCGTTTCAAATTATCCATATCCAAGAATCGTACAAAAATATATGAATTCTGAATTAATCATCGGCTACCACCATCCTTCCGAATAAGATTTATCGAGCACCAACAATTCTGTCTTCAACTTGTTCTCGAGTATTAATCATTCAATTTTCTTCCACCTATTTTTCTTTTCTCTATTTCTAAGCACGACGCTCCCTTAAGATTGCGTTTGTTGCGAAATACCTGGAGTTCGTAGATAGCGTTTTTATATCAAGAGAGCATAAAAAATTGATTCAAGCTTCTTCCATGAAAGAATACCAGTTCTGCCCTGGTTAATTAGTTCGTATAAAAATTATGACACATTATCATGCATAGGTAAATTCCGACTTAAGAGGGTGCATTTTGATGGGAGATGTTGTTTACTAACTGTTGACAATCTCTGGTAGTACTCTTAATGGCAATACAGTAGTATGGATAACCAGAAGGTACAGGGAACGGAACGCTTTCGCTTTATTCCTCATCCGATAGGGAACGAACAAACGTAGCTGTGGGTACTGGGGGACATATTGTTGTTTATGAGGACGCACGTCTACTTGAAAGAATCGCAAAGCTGCGATTGCTTATTTTTCCATCAACAAATGGATAAGCTCCTCCAAGTAAGCAGCGTGTGGTGTTTAATGTGAATCGAAAGTTGACCGAAAAATATTCTACTATGTTCCAGCGAAGATTCTTTCAACGAATGAAAAATATTAATGTTTTATTTTGCAACTTAATATGTATACTATGCATCGTGCTTCACCTTTTCGTAGAGGTCAGGCCCCTTGCTACGATGATCCTTTATTTCACAATGATTCGAATTTAGTTCGGAAAAGGTTCATTCAAAGCAGGAGCCAGTCACACGGAATAAAGGTAGTCTCTGTGCTGCAGAAAATTATATAATGAAGCGGTGTACGGCAAAGCTGCACTGTTCTACGCTGGGAATGCAGAAGCAGTAAGGTGTTTCTTTCAGGTGACCAGTTTGTTCACCTTTGTGGAAGTAGCCGTAATGGTTTCCTAATTGCTTGCTCACAATTGTGTGATGAAACTATTTGGCAGCAAATTTGCACCGCTAGTTCTGAAAGAAAAGTGAGAATTGTAACGAATTCCTTTCAGGTTTCAAGCTTCTCTATATTTATGGAAGCAGCGACGTTGGTCTCTCCCGAAGGACAACTTCGGCTGCTCACAATTGTGTGATGAAACTATTTGGCAGCAAATTTGCACCGCTAGTTCTGAAAGAAAAGTGAGAATTGTAACGAATTCCTTTCAGGTTTCAAGCTTCTCTATATTTATGGAAGCAGCGACGTTGGTCTCTCCCGAAGGACGTGTTAGATAAAGTCAGATCCCAAACCACCTGCTCGAATCGCTTAGCGTTGGTGATCAACTTCGGCGCATTGTTCGATACGACCAAAATGCTGCTGAGAAGTACCAACTGTGCACAGCCTCAGTAGGAGTCCGACAGGTCGGCCTTTTTTCCTGCGTCCTCTGGCCAATCTAGGCGTCAGCGGCCAAGAGGATCAGACTTTTGGCTCCTTCAGGGTTTTCTCACAAAATCCGGAGTCTTCCAGCCTCACACTCGTGGCCTTTCAAGACAGAGACTAGAGAAAGCGTACTAAAAGTTCCCTATATCCTCCTTTCTGGATCAGCTATTTGAGTCAGATGCTCAAACGGTGATACCTAATCCAACTTGACTTCGTCGGCTTGGGCATCGGGGAAGTATTACTCACTTTTAGCGGGCTTTGGTAACTCCCCCTCATACCTACATCATCCCGGTCCTTCGGAATCGTTCAAATGTCCAACTATTGCTGCTTATATAATTTTTTCTCATATAAAAGTCAAAATAAACCCTGATTCAATGTACGAGGCTTGACTCACACCGCCGTTTGGGTCATTTTTCTAAGAATGCCACAGTAAAAAACAAATTTCGAACTCTGCTCTTCGGGCGCTTGATGATCCTGATGCAATGACACTTCGTGTCCAAGACTTTGCTTTAGGGCTGAATGCATCTTAGTGGACTCAGGGTGTCTAGTAGAGTTTGCGAACAGCATTTCATCAGGATCAATGAATATCGATGTGGCAAACGATGTTTGTTTGTTGTGTCTGCATAGGTTACAACAGACAGCGGCTTCGGGCTGAGGAAAGAAGCTTCCATTGAGGTTTGTCGTAGCTACTCCCGCCAAGAAGTACTATAGATATGATTCTAGCATTTGGTTTGAATGCTCACGTTGGGCGAATAAGCCCTGATGAAGCCCCTCGAGACTTCTGATTGTGGATTGGCGCTCATCACACGGATAATGGGAAAGGACATCTTTATATGCTGAACATCATGTTTGTTCGCCGGCTCAACCTTTCAGGACAGGCGCTCACATCGTGTGACTTAGAAGCCAGAAACTACAAACCCAAACTACAAACCAATTCGGACTACGTGGCAATCGGTTACTGGTTCCTAGCTTCGACACTAGAGAGCCGTTCATTTTTGGCTAAGTCAGTTTATCAAGGCCCTGTGCGAGCTCGTGTGCCTATTTCCTCTCCTCTAGAACACGCCGGTTGGTGCAAATCCATTAGCTTCATCACCAGAAAATCCTCTCCCTCGCTTAAAAGAACGAGCCAAGTTGGCCGAGAGCCTTCCGAAACTTTTGAACGGTTTGAGCACGAAGGATATGAGAGAGCAGGATGCATTGCGTCATGCTTATCAAAAGGCCTAAGCGAGTTTTGAAAACCTTTTCGATTAAAAGTGATATTTGGATGGATTTTGGTGCAATATTGGGCTTATCATATCCATTGCTATACGGAGAAAGATTTTATGGTGAATTCTGCTCATGTGGAGTTTTCGACATATTGTAACAAGTCTTAACCATTCATTTCCCCAAAGCTCCTATCTGAAAAGAAAACAAATTGTTACTGCTTGTTTTCAATCCACACAAGCTAACACCTTAAACGATCCACCATAAATGCTAAAGCATTGAACTTTCTATTGTGTGTAGAAGCTTTTGGAAACTGCCATTTTGCGTAACTAATACAACCATACTTGTCTTTAGCGGACGCAGTCACGCATATAGTCTTCGATGAAAGGTCATTAAATGTGGAGAACCTAAAATATCACAGCGACTTGTGCTATTTGGAGCCAAATATGTGCCAGTATAGGTTGAGACGTTTTTACCACAGCACCCATGAACGGACGAACCGCCTTAGCACAAAATATGGGGGCATAGTGCGTACAAGACTCATTCGGTTGAAAGCAAGCACATAAAATTCAAATTAGGTCAGCTCAGCGCGGAAACACAAAAATCAAGGTCACAAAAATACAATATAAACACGTATAGGCGAAGCAACCAGATTACTGAAGAAAGATGATGGCCCTAAAGCTGTGTTGTCTTATTTTTGCCGTAAATTCAGTTTTGTCAAACGAGATCGGTGAGTTCTTGACAAATGAATCCTGTCTTGCCTACCAACTCATCCATAGCTCGCTTGTTCAGAAGTAACCACAACATAGTAGTTTATGTCAAATCTGCGCAAATGAAACAATTGAACCAGCGTTGTTGTTTAACAGATGTTCAAGTGCGGATTCTTGCACCCAACGGGCCTCTAATGGACGTGTCAATATGCGAAACAGTAAGTATATATTTTAAAGGCAATTCCTCGCTGTGAATGAAAGTACCCCAAGATTCTCCGCCATAAAAAACAAAACTTTGAAGTTTGTCTCACCCAATGTCTCGCACAAATGTTAATGCTGGTATGGAACTACTTGCAGGTTATTTAAACGGTGAAGTATTGTTCTAAGCTCTCATAAGCTCAAGCCATTCTTCTAGGTTCAATATAAAAAAAACTAATAATATGCAACATAAATAGCCGCAAATTAACTCTACTTCTTATGAAGATAGCCTTGATCAACATTTAACTCTTCTATTCTTTCGTGGCTTTGTTTGTAATCAGCAATACTATTTTTCTTCTGTTTGTGGTATGTCCAACATATAACAGAAGTTTTGTGCTAGATGTGTGTGCCCTCAGAGAGTTTTGCAAAACACTCACGAGATAGCTGCAGACCAGCGCTGAATGAAATGTTGATTCCAACGGTACTCGTCAAAAGCACAGACAACGGATGGAAACGGATGTATATTCTGTATTTATTTTAGTTTATATTTTAGTTTGTTGAACATGGATTACATAAAACGTTACTTTCCATTGGCATGAAATACGGAAAGGTTTCTATGTGTTTTCCGTATCTACAGCTGAAAGTTCGCGCTCCACAATTTTGGGAAGGTGGACTGTTCACCCAATGCTCATTTGACTATCTGTACAGGCACGACAAGGATGATTTACAGGTTGAGATCATGTACGAAGTGAAAACTAACATCAGCAAATTCCCAGAAGAGTTCCAAGCCGACTTGCCGTATGACTTCCAAATGTGGTTCCTCAATCGTCTGCTCAACGGCGGTGAGACGCGCTGCCTGACTGCTACTGGAGAAGCACAGGATTCTGATGCATACGGTGAGTGAAGTTTAGCGGCACTTCCTGATCACTTTCATCGAGTTGTAAATATGTTTGTGGATTACATGATAAAATGCAAACGTGTGTTGCAGGTACCGGCTTCCGTGGATAATGCTCTATGAAGAGAGATTGGCACACAAACAATAACACGAACCTTTACTCATAAGTGAATGGAACAATTCAACGATACTCAAAAAGACATGAATATTCATTGGTTCTTGGACAGAAAGTAACATCGTCACATCAGTTGTCTCACATTTTGTGGAGCAGCACAATGTACTCACCTAACTATTTTACTATTTTACTGAGCTTCACAAAAGTAGCATCTATTCAGCCATCTAAACACCTCATGGCTTTTCTGTGGTAAGCTGTTGCAATTTCTGAGATAAAGCCAGATTTTGTCATCCTCTTTCAGAGGTGGAAGGATACATTGCCGATTATACTGCGCGTGAAAGTGAGTCGGTGGTAATTCGTTTTTATTTTCTCGCCCTGGGCGTTAACGCGTCCACTTAAATAAACACGTTGTATGACGAAACGGGTGGCAATTTTTCATTATCTTACGTATAACAAACAAGTAATTTGGAATATTTTGTGCAAGCCGAATTACGTACTGAATGCGCTTGCTTCGGTTCATCAGCATTTGTTTAATATCTTGCTTTTATTGGAGAACTGGACAGATGATGACTCTTTGTGAAATAGAAGAATACAAAAATATGCTGGACCCCCATTAATTAGTGTTAGCGACACTCTCATTGAAATTATACATCTGGGTCTGGTGAACACATGAGCTGAGTGACTAAATAATGGGTAGTTTTACATCCTGTCCACGTGAGAATTACTCAACCTTGGACGAATCCTCCAGTCTAGAGCCGTCTATTTGTACTGATGGTGATATAAGACAATGAATAAGCAAGTGTACAGCGATCCGTGGCCTTGTAGCATAGTTGGAATTTACGTTCAAAATGGACTATAGGCTGAAAATGCATTGCTCTGCTAATGAGCATGGTGCTTCAACTTCCAAAAGCGTGACTTTCAGCAATATGATCCGATCTGATAATTGTTAGCCAAATTGTTTGAGTATACTTTCCTGGTGACCTCATCAAAAGATACCTTTTCGTTGGAACAAATTCTGTTACCAAACTGTATTGTTTTCACTTGTTAGAGTTCATTCTGGTTGCACCATTTGCCGAGGACTTTTGCCTAAAGGTGAGTGTATTCTTCCACGGTTTTGGTGTCAGTCTCGCGAAAACGATTGGGTCTAATCATCGGTAACTCGAAATACTCGCTGATATCGGTACTTTAAAGAGATATTTTTCCAATGCTGTCTCCCCGTCAGTTCATCAATAAGAAGTTCAACCAAGATCAACTCGAGGTATCAAACTGCACGCTGCTGGAGAAGAGCACAATACCCGTCGATGGTCACATACTGGGCAAATATGCACTGTCAACAACGGAAAGACAGCTCAACTTTGTACCTTTCCAATATCACGATATCTATATTTTCTTCTTAAAAGAACTGAACGGAGATGAAGGCGAATGCAATTACAATGGCTACTGGGCAAATGTGAAATTTGTAGAAAGTAGGTGTACTCCATTTTTCCGTCTCACATATCCATATGGTTAAGTCGACATTGATATCCATATGAGTAATCTCATGGAACTTGGTTCTTGTACGTCGTTCATTTTGACAAAGTTTTGTATTAAGTGTTCTCACAGAAATTGCCCGATAGTGTTTACTTACTATGTACACTAATTTACCGCACTTTGAAGTGATTAAGTCACCCTCGACAAAGTTCACTCTAGACAAGGCCCGCAAGAACTTACTTGGGGATAACTCGGCTAACAAGCTTCACTAGTCCGAATTTATATTTTTGTTGACGTTTTAATCCGTAGGCATCGTCATTCGCACGTCTCAATTTTCATCAAATACGCATTCGAATCTTCACACTGACGCTACTTATATTATCTGTATCTCCAATGGGCTTATGCTTTCTTGAGTGAGCCGTCAGTTGACTAACAGCGGAGGGACATGATCTTTACGAATGATGAAGAAACATTTAGAGCCAGTGGCTAAACTCCACGGACAAGCCGACAGCTAACTGACAAAATGTTTTGTGTGCATGCAGGGGACATAGTTCCAACTGAGTCAGCTCAGTGGACTAAAGCATGACGTCAGATCATTGCATTAGACACCAAAATGGTAATTTGCGGATATGACTGCCCCAATTAAAGCTGTAGTTTGAGGTCGGTGACAAGAGGCAAGTAAAATAAATTTAGAGAAAGTGCAATAGCACATGGCCGAGCACATGTGGACCGTCATATAGTTCATGAGCTTTTCTTTACCGAGCGGTAACACAACACTGATATATAGTGATAGTTGTTTGTTCCTTCAGGTGTTAGGAATCCATGTATTAAGCCTTGTGTTCTGAAAAACTTCCACGGCTGTTAAAAGGACTATACGCTATCCCACCTCATTTACTACGCTTGCGTTGCGTGGTGGATCCCATATAAAACCACGAAATATGGGTGCAAGATATCTTCAACGGTCTATTTCTCCGCACAGATTGTACAGTTCAATGTGGACCAAAGCAAGGGAATTCATGATACCTAGAATAATCGGGATTGATAAACTCAAAAGCATCACACTGTAAAGGCGAGCATACCTGGGAGGGAGTACTATATCAAGTCTCCAATGAACTATAACTTGTATGTTCACGCCATGGTTGTTCTGAGCAACTGGTCAACCATTTCGAAAATTCGCTCAGACATTCATTAAGATGCAAATTGCTGCTGAATGACACTAGATTACACTAATCTGGCAGGTTTCGACAGCGCATATACAAGATCTGAACAAATGATGCCGAATTATCACCCAAATATGTGAACAAACAAAAAACACTGACAGTGCGCTGTGCGTAAGAGGAGCTCAGCTGGTATCACCATTTTCCAGTTACGTTGTCTGCGCAAAATATCAAGGTACATTGTGCTCATCGTTCGTATTTGGAATATGTCACAGTGACTTAGGTGGTAAAGCAGTAGCTCGTAAGTTACTTTTCTAAACTACACTTTAAATAATAGGAAAAATAATAGACTAGTATTGACTACTGTTTAGGTGATCAGTAAGATCGATGAATTTGGTCAAGCTGATACAGTTTTTCAGGGTCATCAAGAAAGCGATGGAGGATCCCCTGACATCGGCCAGGCTGCCATACTGCCGAATATTTCCAGGAATATGGTTGTGGTTAATCTCACTTGATTAAAATTTTGGTACTTCGCCAGCAGCATTGTCTTTGAACGCCTGGAGGTTCCTTGAACAATATGCGATACAATTTGAATTGCTAACATATTTGTATGAGTTGTGGGGGACGCGAAGACTTTAATTAAACTGAAGTGGGATATCTGGTAAGCAGGTATCCTTATTCCAAAAAAAGATAAATTACCGCGGAAGAGCAAACGTTGCCTTGGTTTTGGTTTGCGAGTAATTGAGTTCTTAATTGAGACCAGTTTATGAATCAAACAAGCAATGCATATGTGAAGAGTGTTCATTAACATAAATTATATTATATATGTTATATAATTTTGACCAATTTTATGAATTTCAGACAAAAATACAATGCCCGACGATGACGATGGTCTTTACTAGAGGATGGAAATTCCAAGATCTGTGTCTGTTTTCAATACTGTTTTCAATACTTCTGTGTGTGCATGATACTACAAGTTGCTGTGTCTTCTTCGCATTCTCCTCAGCAAATATATACATTATACAAATTTTCTTTTCATTGTATGTGCAGCCTATGATAATTCATCTCCGGAAAAATAATGATTATGTGTACTTGTGCTATTTATTTTCATGGTCGTTTTCGGGAAGCAAAATTACCACTGAATTACTGCAACGGTGGCTATCCATGGTTGAACAGTTGGCCGTTTATTTAGTCACAGAGGTCGTCAATTCCAGCATATTTCGAAAAGTGAAAATGGTAAAGAGGCACAGGATCACATTTTGCTGAGTGTGTGAGTGCTTGTGATGTTTGTTCGGGAGGTCTGCTTACTGATAATAACCCCAGAATGCCTAAAACCCACTGAAACTCTCAAACTCCACCGAAATTTCAATAAATAAAGCCTCTAAGCATCCGGGGCAGTCAACTATTAAATCAGTTCCCATAAACCATGGATCGATGAAAAGCGCCATTCAAGTAGAGTCAGATCCTCTGTAACCGCTTTGATCGCTTGTTTGCAATAATTTTTTTGATTGTTTTTCCGACAGTAAGGCATCGCAGCGGAGCCAACAGTGGATATAAAATGCTACACAAGGGTGTAATGTTACTGCTCTGCATTATTTGAGGTCTTATCGGCTGTATTTGGCTCCACAAGTTGTAATAGTAATTTGGTAATCTTACTAAATGACTAGCATTTCGGCATATTGCAAGTGATCTCTAACTAAAAGCAGCATTGGCAGATTGCTTGGGTTTGCATAATTTGATTCGGTGTTTACGAATGTTCGTTTGGTAGAACTATGTTACAGTTCATCAAATCGAGCGAAAGTAACACGGTAAGTTCGATCTCAACGCAGAGTTTCTTGTAATGAGATGATATAATCCAGCAATTCGGATGTTGTTGGGAATGTTGTTGGATATTTACAATAGGTGGAATACGGACCAACCGTAGTGTTTCTGAGATTGCTTGATAGTCAGATGCACCATTGTGTTTGGGTGTCTTGGCAGTGTGTGAACGTACGCAAGACTGTGTACGTCAGCACGAGTGCGTCCGGTTGTTGTTGTTGTCGACTTTGACGCGGCACTGTTATGATTCCTGCTTGCCTGACATTTACTGCTCCAGAACGCGTCCGCTCCCATGTTAACACAACCAGGGGCAGTGTGCATGTGCATCGTAAGTGATATAATGGTTACAATCGAGTGGGCAAAGTGTAAGGACTCAGGAGAATAAACGTTTTTAAGCCCATTTCAACTCTGTGGAGGAAAACGCACACGCCTTTTGATTGACGTGATTCACACGCATAGTTGTCCGGCTCCTTTATTTGTCTGGACATTCAACAAACTGAGACAAAAAGTTTTAGCCTCATGACCCTGAAGCACCTTCCAAATGGCGCCGCATATGCCATTCCTACAGGATAATCCTACAGAAATTGTAGGAGATTTTCTGTCTCATTTATCCAAGCACTGTCCTCATTGATTGCCTCTTACTGGTCCTGATGGATGTTGATTTCGCTTTAATGGCCTGGACCACCCGAGCAAGATCGAGTCCAAACCTGAAATACGGATAACCTGCGTGTAAAAAAACACTTTGCACAAACGACAGGTCACTTCCTCCAACGTACAGTTGTATCAAGTGATTTTATATTCTCATCAGAAGGATATTAAAAGGTTCGGTTCATACTATCTGCCCCATACCACGCGCAGTAGCTCCCAATTCAGCCTCTGCTTGTTGTCTTATGGAAAACATAGCCAGTCGCTCAAAACTACATCATGAGGATTTAATGAACCGCCATTGAAACGATCACGTTTTCAATTGTCTCATGAACCTGCTGTATCATAACTCCACCAAACACGCTTAAACCGACACCGGTTAGCCAAACGGTTGACAATCAACACCTGGTCGAATGAAAGGGGTGAAGTTTACTGCCTAACTATTGTTGTCCGCATCGCTCGAAATTCAGGATACATATCACCCTTATCGCACCAGATTTCACAACTTGAGGAACCGTTGCGTTTCGTCGTTAATATGGAAGTACTTTGGAGCTGCAAAGTCTTGCTTCGGCAATACCTGCATCCACGTGAACAGGTGCCCAGGTTATTTACAACAGGAACTGCCAATAGTCGACTTAAGTAATTTTACCTTGGGATACCGGTTCAGAGAATTGATCACATGGTATTCTTAATTGAAGTTTAAGCTCAATTTGAAGAATCACAGCTAAGCATTCTAAACAATTTATGGTACCCAGGAGGAAGAATATTTTTACATGATATGTGAGACTGCTGTCTGACAAATCGTCCCCCAAAGGGCCAGTAGACACTTGAGAATCTGATGTCAGTTTCGCGATTGAAGGATGGATGGAACCTTATTCCGTACGAGTACGAGTTGATCTCACTGCTAATATGACAATACTTTCTTCGTGGTTGAGTGCTTCTGCTAAGTGTTGATCAGAACAGGAGTGGCATATTTGATAACTCGATTCCTCTGCTTTAGGGCTGCGATAGTATCGAGATCAGTAGCGTTCGCTGCAACAGTGGAAAACTCCCCAAACCTGAGCAGCTTGAGGGTCCGTTGTCGATCCAACATCCGCGCCTTGACAAGCTCAAAATCTTCATGTGATCCTATGGCCCAATCGAATATTTTATTTTTTCCCGAGCAATTAGTACAGTAGAGTAGCAATCGCCTTGAAATCATTCACAAACCGGCTCTCGGATGATGCTCGTCCAAGACACTGCCGGAAGGATCGCTTCGAATTGGAAACAGCACAATCCACGACCACTGTCAATTTCCGGCAGTGGGCTAGCTTCTCCGTGACCCACTTTATGCCCCAGGAGTGTCACCAAACTTCGCGCGAGTTGTGTCTAGGGTTCATTTATCCGTAGGCCAGTCTCCCGGATCCGATTCAATACAACCTTGGAGTGAACTGCGTGCTCTGGTTCCGAATTCCTGTGCAGAACGATATCATCTCCGTACACGGCAACATTTTTCAGTTCCTTGATTAAACGAAGTATCAGGCCCTGGAATGTGAATGGTGCCAAAGACAAACAAAACGACATCCGTCTAAATTGATTTTGGGTGTCCACAACCGTGAACGCTGTTTTCTCCCTGTCGAGGAATTTCGTGTTCGATCCATCAACAGAAGCCAAGCGGATCCTCATCACCCGTGAACATTTCGGAATATTTCTCGACGACGGACTGTACTAACGACATGCTACAAGATAGAAGAGCTGGGACATGCAGCTTACTCAAGACAGTGCTTGGATAACCTTAATGCAGGACTGCGCCATAACATGTCGCCAGTTTTCCCTGCTTTAAGTCCACCACGGAATATGTGCTCTTGAGGAAATTTGCCCCGCTGTTGTCTGATCTCTATCTGGGTTGATCAGGAACGGGTGCTCCACGGACTTGTCGCCTAGGCATATTGAGTGCATTGAGAATCCGTCAGTCTTCAGTCGATATCCACCCACTGCTCTCACGGCTAGCGCGCATGTTCTGCATTTAGATTGGTTCCCTCTTCGCCTCACCGACACCCCTGCTTCATCTTCCTGTCTATCTCGATAATGGCCTGTATGGTAGCCTGTGTCACGGCGCTAATCGCAATCCACCGGAAAAAGAAAAGTAATCCAAATTTTAATTATGTAGTGGTGTTCGGCTACGAGGGCATTGATTCTTCCAATGGTCAGTCCTGCTCCACTTGTAACACCGGCTCGTTCAAGCATATCTTCGCGATTCCCTATTTATGGATACAAGCTGTTCTGCGAGTCGGTCCACTCTGGTCTACAGTTCATCCACTGTTGTACCATCACTTTTCTCCTGCGACTGCAACGTCGCCAGTATTGCCTCGGCCAATCCTCCTGCCAGATTCACCAGCTCCTCCACAAGAAACTGGCTATTTGATCTCGACAACCGCAACTGGGTACCAAGCGCAGACTGCACTGGTCAGATGAACTGGTCAGACAGAAACTGCTGGCGAGGCACTCGGTCCAGTCCCAACGAAGGCTGATCCAACGACTTCAGCAGGGTGACAAAGATCATGGACGGATCCCATTCAGGTGCCGTCCTGGCCGTCTTGAACTGCATCCTAGAATCCTAGCAGTCGGCCGGCGTGTCGAACTATGCTTCAAGCGCTTCATTTGCGGCAGTCGCGTTCATCTTCAGAGGGCCTTTTTGTCCTTTTCCAAGGTCACCTTCGCCCGGCCTCTGAGGAGGGTCTTCAGCGCCGCCAACTCACTCCGGTCTGTCTCCAGTCCGGCGGCCTCCGCGATCTCCTCAAAGTCCTCCAGGAAGGTCCGAACATCCCCATCCTCAAAGGGTTTTGGACACGGAAACTTCATCCTTATCGTTATCACGCCACCAAATGAAAGAAAGGCCTTCGCTGCGGAGCTATTTACCAGAAAACTTCAACTGAACGGTTAAAGACTATTGGACAGGAAAGCGACTCTCATATGCATCTTGTTTAAAAAAAATGAGTATCCGCCTTCTTGAACGGCCTATTCCTGAACTTCCCTGCTCATTGGCTAGCTATCAAATGTAAACGAATTCTACAAAGCAATTTCGCAAATTCCGTTATAAATCTTACCTTTCAATATACGCAAAGCGGATTTACGAGAAAAAAACATACTACTCGCATGCCTCATCAGTAGTATCCATCTTCACACGAGTAGGCAAGATGGTTCTATATGGAGTGTATTTGGCGCCAGCCCATTGTAGTCCTCTTCAGTACAATTCAACCGCATATTCATTAGCCTGAAAATAAAGTTTTTTCGGAAGCCCAATATCTTTCCTAAATTCCGAGCCACGGCATGCAGGTAAGAACTCTTTCACCTCAGCTTTTACTTTCGCGTTGTTAAACATCACCAAACGGTTTGTGTAACAACCGATGCCTACAGTGGAAAATTAGCGACTTTTCAAATGTTGGCTACGTGCACATTTCCGTATGGCGTCTTTTACCATGAGTTATGTGTATGGGAATAGCTGTTACTTTGGCGCATCAAAGGGCTATTATCCCAGCAGAAGCTTAGTAACACATTGGAAATAATCAAGTCCACCCATGTATATGTTTGCGAGTTGAATATCTTCTGTGGCTCTTCTGT